CACATCACTGTTTACCAATTCTTATTGTAGTATATGCTACTCACACACATCACTGTTTACCAATTCTTATTGTAGTATATGCTACTCACACACATCACTGTTTACCAATTCTTATTGTAGTACGTGCTGCTCACACATCACTGTTTACCAATTCTTATTGTAGTATGTGCCATTCACACACATCACTGTTTACCAATTCTTATTGTAGTACGTGCCACTCATACACATTACTGTTGACCAATTTTTATTGTAGCACATGCCACTCACACATATCACTGTTTACCAATTCTTATTGTAGTACGTGTTACTCACACACATCACTGTTTACCAACTCTTATTGTAGTACGTGCTGCTCACACACATCACTGTTTACCAATTCTTATTGTAGTATGTACCACTCACACACATCACTGTTTACCAATTCTTATTGTAGTATACGTGCCACTCACACACATCACTGTTTACCAATTCTTATTGTAGTACATGCCACTCACACATATCACTGTTTACCAATTCTTATTGTAGTATGTGCCACTCACACATATCACTGTTTACCAACTGTTATTGTTTGTCAACTAACTAAGATCTCAGAGCCTGTGATTTCTAAGCATGTTGAACAGAACATACAAACAAACCACCTTACACATTGAAAAAACTGCCCCTTTGTTCCTCCAGTAACAAATTTCTTGCCATCTTTATGCCAAGCACATGTTGTAAGAGAGTCCTCTGGAGAGTTGGTCATCTTGACTCGAAGGTTACCAGTCTGAAACAAGTACCACATTACTTCATCACTCAACAAGAAAACAAACCATTTGTGTAATATATCTTCAGAAAGTTTCAAAACTGTACAAACACTACTCAGAACATAAGCTTAAAATTTTTAATGTAATAAATTTTAAAAGTCTGGGAAGTATCTAAAAAATATCACTATCTGAAAAGCAATATTTTATAAGATGTCCAAACACTAACACTAAACAGTATGTTTAAACACTGCTCATAACATTACGAACATGATTAAACATGACTCCTAATATTATTAACATGATTAAACACTGCTCATAACATTACGAACATGATTAAACATGACTCATCACACTAAACAGTATGATTAAACACTACCATAACATTACAAATATGATT